AGGGTTTTCCTGGGGCTGGATGATACATTACTTCAGTTTTGTTTGTGCTGATAGTAAGAACAAACTTTGTGCAAGCATCAGATATGTTACCCAAGCTGTGTTGCATGTCAGCTTTTTCAGAGCCAGCGCCGAGGGCGCAGTCATTATCAAAAAGTAAGTCTCTGACTATGACCTTAGTTTTTCTTGGAGCCTCCTAAGGTTGAACAGTTTACCATCAGTACGGTATTTGATGATGACTCCCGCGTTACATTACGTCCTTACGTAGAAACCACTTTTGTGTGGCACCACAGGAAACTACAATAAGAGGCATCCGACATGGCTAACATAATGAATCGTCAATACCAGAGTCTTCACACAAGAGGACAAGAGTGATCTACCAAGCCTATATTGTGACTCTTGAGAAGATCGTTACCCACCAATGCCCGACATCCAAGTTACTGAAGAGGGTGCATATATCTTGTTTTGGAAAAGTAACCCACAGAGGGCCACGGGACCAGACACGATTCCAGCAAGTATCATGAAAGATCTAATAGAAGCATGTGCACCATACTTGAGTTCTATTTACCAGAAGTGCCTCTCAACAGATTATTCCCTGATGTGTGGAAAACAAAACGTTACAGCTATCTATAAATATGGAGAAAGATTCAATGCTAACAATTGTAGAATCTGCTGCAAAATGCTGGAACACATCGTAGTCTGCAACATGATGAAACATCTAGATCACATCAACATTCTAACAGACTGTCAACATGGTTTCCGTGCTGGACAAAGCTGTGAAGCACGGCTCATATCCCTAGTTGATGAACTCACCAAATCCTTTAATAGAGGAAAGAAGTACCACCTTGCTATCCTTAACTTCGGTAAGGCTTTCGATCTTGTCCACCATGAAAGACTCCTCAGTAAGTTGGACCATCATGGCAGCAGGGGTAACACTAGCTGTGTTAGTGCAGAAAAATCCCCTGTGAGAATCATTTGAATCCAGGTGAATCAAGGCCCAACTGGCCATTTTGTACAAGATTATGAACAACCTAGTGGACATACCAGTAGACAAATACCTGACCCTGGCATATAGCCAAACTAGGGCAAACCAAAGGAACAAGTTCCAATTAAAGTCAGCATCGACAAATTTCTTTCAAGTTCAGCTTCTTTCCATGTACAATAGGGACTTGGAACAAATTACCAGCAATAATTGCAGAAGCTCCTGACTTGGTATTTCACAAACAGGCGCTTTCGAAAATCACATTCTAATGAACTAGTCAGTTACAAGTAAGACCTAGTGATTCTCGGGGCTATGCCGGTTGATGTTCCTTAGCTCATCGCCGCTATGGTAGCCGGATTGGTCCGAGTATGAAAGGACGAGAACATACTTTTACTTATATCTGCATTTCCTATTATTACTCGTCTGATTGTCCTATCACTTCCGTCTTTACTTTATATTTGACCACTCACCAACCGTTGCTTAATAGTCAGTGTGACGGCACCAATTTATAGATATTTATAGATATAGATAGTGATGTGGTTCTAGAGTGTGCTGTTGAAATGACCGACTCAGCTTTTTGTTTTTCTTTCATTGTTTAAGACCTAGCGTTAACGTTTCATTATTTTCCTGCTTCTTTAAGTTTATAATTCATTTCTTCCTCTTTTTCTTCCCTTTTCTGTTTTACAATTGAAGCATGTTCCTTTACTGCCTGGTTAAAGATTTCAAGATTATTAATATCTTCCTCAGATTTTATCTGCTTAGCATTAGTAGTGACGCGATATACATCTTTAACCTAACTGACACCTTTAAATGTTTTAATATATTTGTTTTTTACATACTGATCTCTACCACCATATCTAAACGCAGCAATATCAAATATTGGATCTTTATTCCCCACAGCAGCAATACCTTCCTTATAAATTTTTCTATTTTGTTAGTCCTAACGTTTGGTGGTGGTCGAAGCAGTTGATGGGGCAGGTTGAAGATGACCAGAAATATCCACTGGCAATGTTTCTAGTTCTTATTTTTTGCCGTCTTAGTTGCTCCAACAATTGTTTTGGTTGGTTCAACAATTGGTTTCAATAACTGTTCTGTACCTTCTGGAAATTCCACTTGAGTTTCCTGATGTTTAAACTCCTGTCTGACAGAATCACATACTGGAAGGTATTTCTTAATTGCCTCTAGTCGTTGTGGAGCTTATTTATCCATAGGGAATTCCAAGTGTAGATTCACTCATGTTTATCATTACAACTATTTAGTTACCCATTTCATGTCAGCAGATATACAAGATTTCAATATATATATATATATATATATATATATATATATATATATATATATATATATATATATATATATATATATATATATATATATTGTAAGGCATCATATTTTTAACCTACTAACCAGCGTTAGAACCGTTTGCGAGGAAATGTTTCACATTCCGCTAACATGGAAATTCCCAGGGACATGTTGAGTTGAATAATCTACTACGCTGCTAAAAAAAAAAGTGTTTTATGTATACACAGCTACAACACTGAAACATACACATGTCCACACGGTTGGTTTTAAAACACTTTAATTTCCCTGTTAGTTCAATAACAGGAGAGCTGTGATTTTTTTAAAAAGCTTTATCAGCTGAGCAGGATAATATCATAACTCATTATATTACTTTTTTGCACCCTATATACAGCGTTAACAAGCCTACGTTTAAATTTACTGACTACCAGTTATACTTGCCCTGTAAAGCAGACATGTACACATGACACAACAGGTGTGATTTGTGTTTTAAATCCTTGGATATTGATAGTACAGTAAGGTGAAAAATGATAAATTCTGTTTGTTTAGTCTTACACTGATAGCAAAACACTGTGAGGAAATATAAATTTTCCGTTAATATGTCAATGTAGTATTAAACTAATAGTACAAAACTGTGAGAAATCATAAATTCATAGCCTGTCTCTTTAGTCTTATACAAGTGCGTGGATATTGAAACACTGAAAAATTATGAATTCTCTATCTGTCTGACTAAATGTTAATGTTCTTGATTTGTTGTAAACAACACTGCTGGTATCCTTTATCCTTTTTTTTTAATTCCAAACAATATATTCTGCAGTGTGTGATTGTAGAGAGGATGAGGCAGATGACGCAATTTGTTCCATTGTCTCATTGTGAAACTTACTTCGGGTTAAAATCCAAGGAACGGACAATATTTGTCAGCATTTACAAAACAAAACAACAAAAAACATTATTATATTTTTTTGGTGGTGGTGGTGGTGGTGGTGGGTAGGGGGCAGCTGCAAAAAGCTTAGATGTTGAAATAGGAATCAATGAGTAATTTTAACAAATATTACTTGACCCAAATGAACTTGACTGCCCCATTCAACCCACTAAGGATGTTCGTTTTGCACAGATGCATTGACCTTGGGGCATGTGCCTGATTACAAATTAATAATTAAACAGCAATTAAATAATAATAAATAATTACTGTTTAAATAGTACATGAAACATTCAGCTGGTCGTGTTCATCCATATTTTCTAATTAATTAAATTAATTATTTTTTTTTTAAATTTATTTTTTCACCATAAGACCACATCTCGGATTTAATTCTTGCCATCCTTCAGTGAAATCGCTGGTCTGTATTGATTTCAAAACACAATCAGGCTTACACACACAGCCCGGATCGGCTTTTGGTAATTAAGAAACCACCTTGTTTTAAAGGCCTTGATACCATTTACGGACCTTAAAAAACACATAAGAAGAATTGTATTAACTCATTAACCCCTGGAGGTTTTTGTCATATTCGCCTGAAATGCAAATAGTAACCACATTTTGGGGGCTATTTCCGAATATATCCTAATACATCAAGTTCCAAGAGATTTCCGCTTAACCTAATGCCTAGTTGTGTTAGAAACATAATTTTTTCATAGGCTATTTCGCTTGCGCATGAGCAGAAAGGTGAACATTGGAGTTCTTTTCTTTTCTTTTTCTTTTTGCTCAAGGGACTTATCATTTTCGTATCGAGACCATTTTTTATTACAATTGCCCATCTTATTCTACTTTGTGCAAAGGCTCACCTGTCTGTGTGCAGTTCAGACAAGTCTGCCTTAGATCTGAGGCCAATAAATCTAAAATCCGGAAACAAAATAGGATTCCGACCACAGGTGAATTTTGAGTGGAAAAAAATCAGGTTAAAAAAATTACGTTCTCCTCCCCTGTATTTTGTAGTGAAACTAGAATATCCAAATTATTTGGTATCATTTTAGAGATACATCTGTCTACTTTTCTATAATGCCTTCTACTTTAGCGTATCATATATGACCTTGACTCTACAGAGCTCATAAGTAGGGTACTACCTCCTGCTGCGTAAATGTGGCGCAAGGGGTTAACGAGTTAACCATCGTGTAATTTCTTTACCTAAAAGATATCACGAAGGATTGATTATGGGGTCGATACAAAGCTCTGACTGGCATTTCTGATACAAGTATGCATGCGCCACCTCCCTCCTCATTTCGTAGAAGACTTGATTTTTTAATGATCGTTTCACTCACCCCCATAGGTCTGTCCACCTGACCCACCTGCTGCTACACACGTAGTTACAATTGAACACGTGTTTATATTCAGCCTTTGTAATGGACCATTGCATGATTTATAAATTCAGAATTTTTAAAAAATGTTTAAACAAAAGTGACTGTCAACTGGAATTTAATTGTATAAACCTAAGGGTTCATAAGTTGATTCAGATTTCTTTGAATAAAGCAAAAGTATGTGGTTGTGATGTGATGTGATTTGGATTTTTTGATGTGGCTTTAAAAATTTTTCAGTCATATCGCAATGATGTCTGCAGTGTAGTAGTTTATATTGATATCTAACACTGGGACATCATGGCACAGACATATAGCATGATGCCCCACCCAGTCACATTATCCTGACACCAGGCTGACCAGTATTAACACTAACCTCTTAATGCTGAGCACTGAGAGAGGCAGCTGTTAGTAACATTTTTGTAAGTCTTTGATATGACTCAACCGGGGATCTAACCCACTACCTCCTGCATCCAAGGTAGACGTTCTAACCACTAGGCCACCTGAGCGGTGAAGTAAAAGTATAAACATATTGCAAAATAAGTCAATCAGCTTTCTCTAAATGTACATAATAGACAAGACATTTTCCTTTCAATTTTTTATGACTATTAAGATCACTTGATATTTGATTGATTGGCTGTTCAAATGTCAATAAATAATACTAATTAGCTGCTACACAGCAGAGATGACATTAGCATGCCATTCAAAGCCCTGTGGTGATTTGCTACTATCTTACTGGTCCGTCGCAGAGCGAAAAGTGGAGGGATTAGGTCCTCTACAATGCTGTGTGGGGTTCCGAAAATACTATGCTGTACTGCTCATAATTAGTCTGGACAGCACACTACAACTAACAATAATTTGGTGTCAATTCGAGTGCCACAATAACAGTCTCATTAGCACACTGCAGCTAACCTTGGATTGCTGACAACTGGTATTGATGTTTGCTTGTGGATGTTACATAATTATGGTCAGGTTAAAATATATGACTACTGGATTGTATGAGCAAGATTCATTATCACTGTTTGCAGATGATTACTTAAAATAACCTACCGGTAGCATACAGCTGCAATTGCTTTTTAAGTGATCTCCTTTTCCCAAATGTATATGGAAAAGCAATGTATAGTCTGCAGCCAAGTATTTTTGCTTAGCTGTATTACTGTTCATGGAGATAAAAGGTTATTTCCTATGATTTTACTTTGATGTTACACCCACTTGATTGGCAATATTAAGAAAAAAGTATTTCAACTGAAAAAGCATGCTTAATGTCAGCAGAAATATGAACATTAGTTTATCACATAATACAATTTTGTGTTCTGATTGGCTAACAAATAGGATCTGCCTTTCTCCATGACTGAGATGTTTTACTTCATTACTAAAATTACCTTAACCATAATTACTGCAACATGCCAAATGACATAATGTCACACGGTGGGATGATGAGATTTGACATCTCTACACTTCTTATTGTTTTGGTTATCGTTATCTAGGAGATCATCAACCATGGTGTTATTTCCCAGGCTGGTAAATAATAATACAAAATATGAAATTAATGGATGAAATGACAGATATCCGAGTAGAGATATTGAATAGAACAACAGGAGCCCCCATATGCAAGATGAACATTTTAATCAATTACATAAACAAAATGAAACTGAACATGACCTTTGAATGATTCATATTCTCTTTGAAAGTGAGTTACAAAATTTATGTGAAATTCAATTAGTCGTTCTGTTATACTGATAAAACCATTTCATCATATAATCAAGTGAATGATCAAAATCAAATTGCTAGCATGATGGCATCACCTGGTTGTTTCTGATTTTTTCCTAAATCACTGATGGTGTAAGGTTAGCACTGCAGTATTTTTTTATTTCACTTACTCTTCCTCTAAACATTTTGGGTCATCAACCTCTTGGTTACAGACTGTCCTCTTTTCCCATTATGCCATTTAGGTATGGAACTATTTTTTTCCTTCAAATAAAGATATAATACCTGACTTAAACATGAGTCAGTGTTTTTTCTTCTTCCTGGAACATATAATATTATCGCTCTTCTTATGTCAGATATCATTTATCATAATTCAACAGAACTAAGCTATCATTATTTAGCAAACAATTAAAATTCACAAACCTATTAAGGTACTATAAATTAATCTCATTTTGAGCTGATAATCAGATTCCTCAGGAACATGACATAATTAGACCTCTTGACAACTATTACTGCACTCCTGTATGCTGTAAATCACTAGCTAACGATGTCAGTCAACATGCGCCACTAATAATAACACCTTCAGTTTTTGATTGAAAATAATTAACTGCCTAATTGCCAAGTTAATTAATAGATTTCCTTCCTTTACCATAATATGTTAATTTGCTAATTAGTAATTAATTGACAAATATATTAAGATCAACTCATACATACGACACATCATTTAGGACAGATATTTACTTCTTACAATTTGTATCATCAGAAATGCATGAAATTCATACAATTCATGATTTCTGTTACATGTACATACAAAAACCACTAAATCCGAACTCATCCATTCCAACTAATTTTTGTATGACATTCTTACAACATTGGAATCATATAGCATTCCAGACCACTAATGCACACTTATTCTCTGAACTCAAGAAATTTTTTTTTAAGTATGAAGAAAAATTTTAAGCATGAAGTTCAATTAAATAAATTTAACAAATAATTACAAATTTACATCAATGAACATGCTGGATGCAATTTAGACAATTCCTTTGTGCCTTATCTAATGCTTGCTCATTTATCACAAGAAAAATCCCTCTGTCCTTCTCTGGTTCTGAGTATTTCCAATTTCCATATCCTCTTCCTTGGGTAACTTAATAATTAATTTTCTTCAGAGTTAAATTCTGGCTTTCCTGGGAACTTAGGCTGCCTAATTTCACGAGGGGAGTTTCGTAAAATCTTGAATTTTACCTGTGACTACACACACCCTCATTCAGCTTAGCCAATCAGGATTACTTCTCTAACTGCCAAAAAATATTAACACTCCCATTGAAGTCTGAATAATTATCTCTAGACTGCATGTATTAATAACTATTCGGAAAATATTATTCTAACACACCTGTTTCGAATGGCCCAAATTTTTGCTCTGGTTTGTCTTAGCTCTCGTCATTTACACTTCTTGACCTCTTGTTAATATTGCTCTCTATCTATTTCTAACTGTTAGCCAAGTAGGTCCTAATTAAAATCAACCCAATCTTACAAACAAGACAGCCTAACCATCACTAGTTACCAAATAGGCTGTGTTGCTTTCCCATACATCAATCTTAATGTTTATGTGTCATGTTGACCATGACAGAATGTACTGCAAAATTATCTTTGCAAAATTTTGCACCATTACATATAATGTGACATGAAACTGCATGACATACTAAATCAATTATTGCCTTCACCATTAGCAACAATATTCAAAGAATAAGGTCTAGTGGTATAAAAATATGCAATTTATATTGTAGATGTAAATCAGAAAATGACGACCACCAAGGTATTTTTAACTGTATCACCCTTCCCCCACACACTACAGTGTTATGCATGTTGTTGTTCTTGTTGTTGTTGTTGTAGGGCTGTACATGGCGGCCAGTATAATTGGTCGAGGCAGAACCCTGGAAAACCCTAGGAAGAACCAGCGACCCACCAGAAGCTACTGGCAAGCTTTCTCATGTACCCATGTAAACCGAGCCTGAGACTCAAACTTACTCAGTTGAGATGGCAGTGATCTGGAACAGTGAACACTTTAGACCACTTGGCCACTCAAGGTCCCTGTTATGCATACATTTCCTATATCTTTACACCTATAATAGACTTCATGACATTATTAATGGCATAATCATAACATGCAAAGGTAAGGTGTAATAAATAAAGGATCCAAATATATTTGGACATAATTTCACAAAACATCTGCAATTTGATCCAAAAAATAATAAAATCCTGCATTTGAACTCAAAGTAAGTTTATAAACATGTTAAATAATTTCAATAATTTGCCCTCCAAGGCTCACAAAAAAGAGAAATTATCCAACTCATTTAACAAATTTCCATACAAGCCAAGTTTTCTGGAAAACAATATGGGAGACTTGGTCCAAATCAGGGAGATTAGCATAATGGCAATTTTTCTCACAAATTCAAGAACTCTGGAAAGGATGGAATTTTTCTTTCCAACCATTACATTTGCATTGTCGCTACTAAACCCTACTAGGTTCTATATGTTTGTTAAGACTTCTTGAAGACAGTTGAAAAGGTTTTCACCCGTTCCAATATTGCAAATGGGCATAGGCAGGAATTTGGTTATCACTCTGTGACTGTCACTTTCCAACAACCTTACAAGAATTGCTACACACTTTTCATCACCACTGTCATTAGACTCATCCATCATCACTATGTATGTATGTATGTATGTATGTATGTATGTATGTATGTATGTATGTATGTATGTATGTATGTATGTATGTATGTATGTATGTATGTATGTATGTATGTATGTATGTATGTATGTATGTATGTATATCGAGAGAGAGAGAGAGAGAGAGAGAGAGAGAGAGAGAGAGAGAGAGAGAGAGAGAGAGAGAGAGAGAGAGAGAGAGAGAGAGAGAGAGAGAGAGAGAGACTGAATGAAAATTAAATGGTCCTTTTTCTGTTTAAACATATCTTTCTCTCTGTATACATTACATAAACTGAATAGACTGGCAACTTAATGGACTAAACAATTTCCAGGCAACACTATTTCTTTTAACTCTTGAATAGGTAAACTTAGCCACTCCAGCAACAATACCAGGCATAAAATTGGCACCATTTTCATTCAGGACAAAACAGTCTTCATTCGAAGTTTTTTGTTTATAGGCGGTGAAGTAAGAAGAAATCCAGATGGCAGTCACAGGAGCTTGTATCGTTGCTTATAAATTACCTGTAATTCATGCCATATACAATATATACACAGTGCATGTATGACAGGTAAATTGTAAGAACGAATACGTGCCCCTGGAATGGCAGTATGGTGGTTAGATAAATATAAAGGTGAGCTTATATAATAAAGTTAAGCTACAATAGTCTAATTTAAACTGGAAATTCAATGCAGGGCCTAATCGGCTGGGGGATTGGTCCTGATCCCTCCCCACCACCCGCTATAAAAGCCTACATACAGTCACTTGTCACTGGATATCGGATCATCTTTTTCTTCTTGCACACATTTATTGGGTATTATGCACACTTTCAGTAAACAGACTTTTGCTATGGTGCCCTTTCGATGAAAGTCACAGCCCTTTCAACATTTCGGAAAACCAGCTCCCCCAAAGACTTAATCTGATCCTGCCCTGAATGTTTGTTAATATAGCGCAAGGAACACCAAACAGACATATAATATCTTGAATGTCGATGTCTTTATTTACTATTTCACCAATCGCTAAATTATAGGTCCGTGGCACGATATCATAGCACTCAAGTAGAAATGATTATTATGATTTTTTATGTTCAACTTTCAGT